GTACAAATTAGGCACATTTTAGGTATACCTCAGTCAGAGGTATAAAAAAGGCACATTTTAGGCATGCCTTAATTGTGCCTAAAATGTGCCTAAAATGTACCTATATTGAACAGGTTTTAACCCCTCCTATTCTGTCCTCTTTTTCTTCCCTACCCAAAATGTACCTAAGGCATGCCTTAGATATACCTAAGGCATGCCTTAGGTACCCCAAAAAGTGTACCTCAAATGTACCTTTTTTTCCCCTGGGTTATGAGCACCATAGAATATGCTCATTGCCAACTGCATTCATACTACTGTATACGCCATCAAACTAAAGGTCATTCCTTAAATAATCATATTTAACGTATAAAAAACACTGCCAAAGTTAAAACAAAGTTCCTAACTTAATTATTTTGTACTTTAATTCATTAATTTAGTGGAATAAGAAAGGGTTTTTGAAAAATGCCAGGAATAAAACCTCTCTCATTTTGACCTCAATTTCCGTAAAATGATTGTAAAGCTCACAGATTGGTCTCCATGAAATCTTGGATTTATGTTTAAACTTGATTAGTTGGAATAATTATGATGAAATTGAAATTACAATAGTTGACCGAAGAGGAGAATTGGCTCAATGACGATAGATATTATATTTTGTAAGAGAAAAATAATTTAATTGAACAGTTTCTTACTTTGTTTATGTGCTTATTTCCTCTTCACATCTAAACAATAAAAACTATCGATTATATAACTCAGGTTACCTGAAAGGCCCTTAGTGCATGAGCCTCTTTTAAATGTGAGCTAACTTTTGTAAGAAAAGCAAATTTCACTTTTTAATTGTCTGATATCACACTAACTTCTACTACACTACCGGTAACTACTGGTTTAGAAAAAACAAATTATTAATCATAAATACTTGATAATGTTAGATGATAAAATTTGACCCTTCAGTGGTGGCTGTTATGTGAAGATCAAGGGAAGCAACTTTGAGAGTGTGTTTGAACCAAGGCTGATAGCTCATATTGGAAGCACAGAAGTTTCGGACAAGGTGAGTCTGAGTAATTAACTCTGAATGTAGATGTGTGATATTAAGCTGGAAACATTCTCATGTAAAGAGGATTCAAAATTGTTCAAATGGAGGGTCAAATCTCCCCAGGGGCTAAAGGGTAGGTCAAAAAGTGTAATAATTCTCTTTTGTGGAACTTAGAAATGGATATCTGCTTAACTATTTGTTTGGAAACAGTGTTAGGAAATTTAGGGGGGATAGTTTGGCCATATTGCTATAAATGATTTCCTTTAAACGACTCCTTCTTCTTAACCACCGAATGGAATTTAACTAAATTTTACTGGAAGCATCCCTAGGTGGCGGGGATTCAAAATTGTACAAATGGTGGGGCTGACCCCCCAGGGGGCTGAGGGGTGGGGCTAAAAGGGGGCAATTTGGCTTTATTAGGGCCCCGTATCGGAGATATATAGTAATCACTCTGTTTGTTTGTCTGTCTGTCCGTCCACAAATTTTGTTCCTGGCTGATAACTTTGGTATTAATTGACCGATGTACATGAAACTTGGTCAAGATGTTCAGTTCACAAAAATACACACGAAGGTAACAAGTCAAGGTCAAAGGTAAGGGTCATAAGGTTCAAAAAAAGTTTGTTATGATATTATGAAGCAAACTTGATCAGAATTAAACAATGAGTCAACTGACCAAAGGTCAAGGTCATCGGGTCAGGGGTCAAGGTCAAATTTTGTAGCTTTTCACTGGTGAACATTTCGCTATGACATTATGAAGCAAAGTTGTTCGTAATTAAACAAAGAGACACACTGAGGTAAAAAGTCGAGGTCAAAGGTCAAGGTAATTAGATTCAAAGGTCAAGGTCAAATTTTGCATCTTTTCACTGGTGAACATCTCGCTATGACACTTTGAAGCAATGTTGCTCAGAATTAAACAAGGAGTCAAGGTCACTGGGTTAAAGGTGAAGGATAAATTTTGTACTTTTTCCCTGATGAAAATTTTGTTATGACATTATGAAGCTATGTTGTTCAGAACTTAACACAGAGTCAACTGACCTTAGGTCCAGGCTATGATGTCCAAAGGGTCAAGGTCAAGTTTTGTCTTTTTCACTGATGAACATTTTGTTATGATATTAAGAAGCAAAGTTAGTCGGAATTAAGAATAGGTCAACTGACCAAAGATCAGGGTCACTGGGTTCATGGTCAAGGTCTTTTGGGTCCAAAGGTCAAAGACAATGTGGATCTCTGACTTTGACCCTGGCTCTTGATGGAGGAGGTAAATAAGGTGAAATAAAACAAATCAAAGCTAACAAATGAGTATTGCACCAGTATTTACATTTCTGTCAGCCCAGCAAATATGGAGGTGGAAGGAAACAAGACTCACATCATAGTACATGTAAAATGTATATTTTGCTTCCTTGTGATTCTTTTTGAAGTCCAAATGTCAAACGTCAAGCTCAATTACATGTATATGGGCGGATTGCTTCTTGATGATTATGGGGGATATATTGCCACAAGACGTGGCCCTAACTGACCTGTCAGTGTTCTAGTTGCTTTAAGGGACTTCTTCTCTGGAACTAAGAGATGGATATCAACCATATTTGACTGGAAGCATCCCGAGGTGGTGGAGATTCAAAATTGTACAAATGGTGGGGCTGACCCCCCAGGGGGCTTAGGGGCGGGGCTAAAAGGGGGCAATTAGGCTTTATTGCTTTAAGCGACTTCTTCTCTGGAACTAAGAGATGGATATCAACCATATTTGACTGGAAGCATCCCTCGGTGGTGGGGATTCAGAATTGTACAAATGGTGGGGCTGACCCCCCAGGGGGCCGAGGGGAGAGGCCAAAAGGGGGCAATTTGGCTATATTGCTACAAACAACTTCTTCTGTAGAACTATTTACTGGATATCAATCATATTTAATCAAAAGCATTTATGAGAGGCAGGGATTCAAAATTGTACAAATGGTGGGGCTGACCCCCCAGGGGGCTGAGGGGTGGGGCCAAAAAGGGTTATTTGATAAATTGCTTTAAGCAACATCTTCTCTGGAACTAAGAGATGGATACCAACCATATTTGACTGGAAGCATCCCTAGGTGGTGGAGATTCAAAATTGTACAAATGGTGGGGTTGACCCCCAGGGGGCTGATAGCGGGGCCAAAACGGGGCAATTTGGCTATATTGCCATAAACAACTTCTTCTGTAGAACTATGCCATGCCATGGATATCGATCATATTTGGTCGGCAGCATTCATGGGAGGCAGGGATTCAAAATTGTACAAATAGTGGGACTGACCCCCCGGGCTAAGGGGTGGGGCCAAAATAAGTTTTATTACTTGGAAATGGTTGAGATCCCCACCATATAACCATATATACAATTGCTGAGTATATAGAGAAGAATGCACATTTGCTTCCAGGATGGCCCTAGGGTCTGGCCACACCCTCAGAGACATAGTCCCTGGGCCATAACTTTAAAACGGTTGAGATCCCCACCTCAAAACAATATATACAAATGCTGGGCATAAAGAGAGGAATGCAGTCAAGTCTATTAGAATAGACCCTGGGGTCTGACCGAACCCCTAGAGACCTAGTTTCTTAGTCACAGCTTGGAAACAGTTGAGATCACCACCCTATAACCATATATACAATTGCTGAGTATAAAGAAATGAATGCACATATGCTTCCAGGATGTCCTTAGGGACTACCACACCCTTGGATACTTAACCTCAAAATGGTTAAGATCCCCACCCCAAGACTATATATACAATTGTTGCATGGCATAAAGAGACGAATGCAGTCATGATATCAGAATTGACCCCAGGGTCTGGCCCACCATTGCAGACTTAACCCCTGGTTTATAACTTTGAAAGGGTTGAGATCCCCACCCCAAAACTATATATACAAATGCTGGGCAAAAAGAGACAAATGCAGTCATGATATTAGAATTGATCCTGGGGTCTAGCCAAAACCCTAGGGACCTAGTTTCTGAGTCACAGCTTTGAAACAGTTGAGATCCCCACCCCATAACCATACGTAACATTGCTGGGCTTGAAAAATCTAATACAGATATGCTACAAGGATTGGCCTTCGGGTTTGGCATATTCCCTTGGATCTCATTTGGAGAATATTTTGACATGATTGCTTAGATATCCAGGTGAGCGATACAGGCGCCCTCTGGGCCTCTTGTTTATACACATCAGTCAAGTAGTTTAGTGGACTGCCTTTTGGTATTGCAGGGTGTTCTTTTTTGGCCGCTTATCTATAGGTGTCGTGCGTGCACGGAAAGCCCATTTTTTTTTTTTTTTGTAGTTAAGTTATTCATCTGCTGAAAATCTAGTAAAATGTTCAAATTGATTTTTCCAGAATTCATGAAGTCCTGTTTGCAAAATATGTTCCCAATTAAAATATTATATTTGGCATTAATAACAACAGGAAAACGTCAAAAAAGACATTCATGTTTATAATCAGTGAAACTTGAGTTCAAAATAAAGGCCTCTATTTTCTATGCTGTACAGCTGCTTGCTGCCGATGAATACAATGTTCAAACATAGGCTCACCCTGTAGGCAGCAAATATAGTAATTGGCTAATTTCCTTCTTAATTGGGTACTAGCTAAAAACAAATAGAAGACAACATGCAAATTAGTCCCAGAAAACAAGCTTTAAGGACTTCCCACCCTTTGTATTACAAATATTTTTCTTGACATATTTTCGTGTCCTCATTTCCATATTGCATTTCAATACTGTAGTGTAAATTGTAGTTTCACAGGGTAAACAAATCCGTACCTCAGATTTCCATATTTTCTCCATAAAAAAAAAAAAAAAAAATACGGATGGGAGTATACATTTGGAAAGATGGAGAAAACGGAGAAAATACGGAGAAATGAAATACAGAGAAATATGGAAAATAAAAACAAAACTTACCCTGTTTAAATTCAAGACCTAGCTAACTTTGAAAACAATTCAAACCTTAAAATCAGATCATTGTTGGAATAAAATGCATTTCATGACTTTAACATTCAAAGCAAGAACCTATCAATCATAAATACCTGAATATATGCTGGTATTTGCTTCTCAAATACGATTGCTCCTTCATGTATCCTTTCACACAAACCATGACTGACCTGAATGCTTTCAGAATTTGAATGTGAAAATTGACCAATCATAGACCAGGATTCTAGATGGCCCGAAGTGGCTGTGTTTATTAATCATCAATTTTTCCGTATTTTTCTCCGCATCAGAAAAATTGTAAGTCCATAATCCGTATTCTGATTTTGTAAATTTGGTTAAGTCCAATTTCTCCTTATGAAATATTTTCAAAGTATTTTTTTCCGCATTTTCTCCATATTTTCTCCGTATTTTTTCCATATATTCTCCATATAAAAAATGCGGAATTCATTTTTCGCATTTTTCCATATTTACCTAATGGAAAAAATATGGAAAAATGCGGAGTTCTGCTTAAAATATGGAGATTTAAAATGTGGGTAAATAGTACACATGAGTGATGATGATTTGTCAGTCAACGACCAATATCGAGACTTAACAGTGTAATTAGATATAAATTCCGAAATAAATCTTCCAATACAAAGACGTACTTAAACTGACTTGTGGAAAGACACTGACAGGAGATGACTTTAACAAGGTCATATATGAAGCGCAATTGGAATGCTGACTGATGCATTCTGTGTACTGCCCTCACATGTGCATATCATGTGCTTAATACACCAGTTCACTATCTCTAGGTCATTACAATATTCTCTGTCAAGCAAGTAACGCTCTGTCCTGGTAGTGAGTCGTCCGTCCGCCCATCAACTTTTCCTTTAAAACGCTACTCGTCCTGAACGACCCAGTAAATTTTGACTAAATTTAGTCTGGAGTATACTTAGGCCAAGGGCACTCAATTTTGTATAAACAGTGGGTGTGACCCTCCTGGTGGTAGAGAAGCGGGGCCCAATAGGGGAAATAGAGGTATACCTTTAAAATCCTTCTTCTACCACAGGGATTAAAGAATTTCATTCAAATTTGATCTGGAGCATCCTTGGGCCAAGGGCACTCAATTTTGTATTAACGCTGGGTGTGCCACCCCTGGGGGCAGAGGGGTGGGGCCCAATAGGGGAAATAGAGTTAAAACTTCAGAATTAAGGTATTTCATCCCAATTTTGTGGAATAAAATAGGGTTTGTGCCGTGAAAACCCTGCGAATAAAACCTGCATTATTTTATTTAAACCTCCAATCTCATTGTAAAAACTCAAAGGAAATCTGGCATGTATGCAAATGTCTTGTAAGATATGTAAGATATGTATTTTGTATAGTTTGTAGAAACCAAGACTGCAAAATATTTTTAAAAGGCTTTTAATTTCTGTGTTTGTGTCTGTAAAAGGAATCGGAATTGTCAATTTCTATTCTTTACAATAATACACATATCTTTGCCCTATCTACTTTGTTTCTACAACATTCTGACTTCTTTTCTCCCAATTTTACTAGACCTGTATCAACATTGGTGGAAATATGATCAACTGTCCATCACCTGACCTTAGAAACTACACAGGTGTGTCAACAGTCAGCTATGGACTACAGCTGGATGGCCTGAACATGTACAGAAATCTAGGAAATAGCTTTCCTAGTGAAGCCAGAATCACTGTCATTGATGACCCGATAGTCCATACCAACAACGACCTGACCATTGACACTGTCTTCTCCAACAATCTGATTATAAAGGTCAGACACAACCTCACATAGGTTAAATACTTTCAGTTTTAAGTGTTTCACATTATTTGATCCTGCATAATTAAAATTCTTTTTGCAAATTTCAAGGGAGAGGTAAAAAAAATGGATCAAGTGCTTAAAGTACATTTGTGTCTAGAGGTCAAAATTACATAAACACAAGTGTCACACAGATGTTGGTCAGTCACTAAAGGTTACATCAACACAAGGGTACACAGATGTAGGTCAGTCACTCAAGGTTACATCAATTGAAACTTATGGATATAAGTGTTGTTTGTACACAGAGACTCGGGTAGACTAACTAAACATTGACCCCTGGTGTAAGGGTCATTCCACCTTCGAGGGTTTCATCATGGGTTGAACCACTTTGAGTTTGAAGGGGTCAACTGAGATGACTAGGCAATGGGCCTGTTTAGGTAATGTAAATTGATATGCCCAGAGTAACTGGAGAATAGAGGGATGACTGGTCATTCTCAGAGACTGTATCAGACTAGTCACGTGACTGGTCAGTCATCCAAATTAGGTAATGGTAATTTGATATGCCCAACGGAAGGAAGGGTTATTAGGTACAGTGCTGGTCATTCTTAGGAACAGCAGCAGAGTGTTAAGACGTATAATATTTGATGAACCGCCGCCGTCCCCGCCACACTTCCTTCTCAGATGGTGCCTGGGTCTATCTCACGCTTTAGCGCCCTGTACTCAGGGCGATGTTCTGTCCCAACTTCAAAAATTGGCACTAGTCCAAGTGAGAAAACACTGCCAGTTGGTCAAGCATTGGAAATCATACCACCCCCTTCCACTGGGAGTTAGGGTTGGGTAGCTCGCTTCCAACATTCCTGGACTGAAATTCGGAACATGTTTATATTCTTGTGCTAAGGCATCTACATGAGGTTTTTACTTCATTGTGATGCATATTTTACATAACATTACGTAATACCCCCAAGATATAAATATATAATATACTCCTTTCATACGTCATACATGCTCATACACCGTCCCACCAAGCTGTCACACAGCCAGGACGGCACCGTCCAACCAAGCTGTCACACAGCCAGGACAGCATGTTATGAAAGTGAGTTTTTAGTCTTCCTATTACTTCCCTTCATACATGCTCATACGCTAAGGATCCGTCCCACCAAGCTGTGGAGCTAGCAGGACAGCATGTATGAAGGTGAATAAATTAGTCATATGAAGTAAACGTGTCACAAGCTATCTCGCGCGCAACGAGGCGTCATTGAGGACACGCGCCCCTCAAGTGACTTGTAGGTGACACGTCGACTATATGACACAGCTGAGATAGCCCCTTAACCCAAATATAGGTAGGATAAATCAAAGTATAATGAAAATAAATATCTAGAAACATATACATTGCTTTGAGTCTTTTGTGTATAAACACAAGGGTCACACATATGTAGGTCAGTCACTCAAGGTTACATCAACACAAGGGTCAAACAGTTGTTGGTCAGTCACTCAGGGTTACATCACCACAAGGGTAAAACAGTTGTAGGTCAGTCACTCAAGGTTACATCAACACAAGGGTCAAACAGTTGTAGGTCAGTCACTCAGGGTTACATCAACAAAATGGGTCACACAGATTAAGTCAGTCACTCAAGGATACATGAACACCACGGTCAAACAAATGAACACAAGGGTCAAACAGATATAGGTCAGTCCCTCAGAGGTACATCAACACAAGGGTCAAATAGATGCAGGTCAGTCACTCAAGGTTACATTAACAGTTGGGTCACACAGATGTAGGTGAGTCACTCAAGGTTACATTAACAGAAGGGTCACACAGATGTAGGTCAGTCACTCAAGATTATATTAACACAATGGTCACATAGATGTAGGTCAGTCACTCAAGATAACATCAATACAAGGGTCACACAGATGTAGGTGAGTCACTCAAGGTTACATCAATACAAGGGTCACACAGATGTAGGTCAGTCACTCAAGGTTGCATCAATACAAGGGTCACACAGATGTAGGTCAGTCACTCAAGGGTAAATCAACACAAGGGTCACAAAGATGAAGGTCAGTCACTCAAGGTTACATCAACACAAGGGTCACACAGATGTAGGTCAGTCACTCAAGGTTAAATCAACACAAGGGTCACATAGATGTAGGTCAGTCACTCAAGGCTAAATCAACACAAGGGTCACAAAGATGAAGGTCAGTCACTCAAGGTTAAATCAACACAAGGGTCACAAAGATGTAGGTAGTACCATGCTATTTGTTGAGGCCATATTTCATTCATCAGAAATTGATACAAACTCCTTTAAAAATTTAAGTTTTTGAGCAATAAGAAAAATGTATGGACCCAATGTGACAAAATGTGTTTATACAAATGAATATTAATTATATTTTAGTGACAATTTAAAAAAAAATACAATTCCTATTTTACAACTATCGCAGGGTTCAAACCTTGACAAGGCTTGTGAAGATAGTTTTGAAATAAAACTTGGAGATGACGTCTGTCCAATTCAATCGAAGACCAGCACTGAGGTAAAATGTACTCCAGTGATCGTATTCCCAGGGGAAAGTAAAGAAGTAGAACTCAAGGTAAGCACTGGCCCCTTAACTATATCCACTAAATTATACCCCTGATTTGGCATGGAGTATATAGTAATCTGTTTGTCAGTGATTACTTGTGTATGTCTGTGCTGTCTGTCTGTTTGTCCATCCCTCCCTAGTAAGAAGCTTGTGTACAAGATATCTCATGAACCCCTTAACAGATTCAGTGTGTATTTACCCCATAGTATTGTGATTTCAAGTTCTACACCTGAATAGATATAGTTAGTCATCGAACAAGAGTAAAGGCTGAGATCAAGTTCAAAGGTTATACAGAAGCTTGACCACTTTTCAAGTAAAAAAGTGTGTTCAAGATATCTGATGCACCCATAAACAGATTTAGTTCGATTTAGTACAATAGTTTAGTAATTAACATTAAGCGCTGCATCAGTCGAAGGATGTGCTACTTTTGTAACCTGGGTTAACGTAAATATAATAGAAAAGCATCGATCCAGGAGTAGAGCCAACGCCGTTATTGTAGTTTAGATTTGGTAGGTTCCGTTATCCCTTGCCTGGATACCAACCAGTATGCCGGGCGATTGAAGAATAGGAAAATAAGCGGAGTCAATCGTAACAAGCTCAGGATAAGTTGAATCTTATTTAATGGGTATGTCTACTGGTTTCGCCCGAACAGTGGGCTTCTTCAGGACCTGAAGAAGCCGACTGTTCGGGGGAAACCGGTAGACATACCCATTAAATAAGATTCAACTTATCCTGAGCTTGTTGCGATTGACTCCTACGCTTATAATAGAAAAAGATACACTGACTGAAGTTGAAATACTGGTATATAACCTGGACTGACATATAGGGACCATTGTATACCTTGACACCTGATATATAACCAGGACTGACATATAGGGACCATGGTATACCTTTACACCTGGTGTATTACCTGGACTAGCTGACATATAGGGACCATGGTATACCTTTACACCTGGTGTATTACCTGGACTGACATAAAGGGACCATGGTATACCTTTACACTTGGTGTATTACCTGGACTGACATGGACGTACCATGTCATAACTTTACACCCTGTGTATTACCTGGACTGACTTATAGGGATCATGGTATACCTTTACACATGGTGTATTACCTGGACTGACATATAGGGATCATGGTATACCTTTACACCTGGTGTATAACCTGGACTGTCATATAGGGACAATGGTATACCTTTACACCTGGTGTATTACCTGGATTGACATAGGGACCATGGTATACCTTTACACCCTGTGTAATACCTGGACTGACATAGAGGTACCATGATGTACCTTTACACTCAGTGTATAACCTGGACTGACACATAGGGACCAAGGTATACCTTGACACCTGATATATAACCAGGACTGACATATAGGGACCATGGTATACCTTTACACCTGGTGTATTACCTGGACTAGCTGACATATAGGGACCATGGTATACCTTTACACCTGGTGTATTACCTGGACTGACATAAAGGGACCATGGTATACCTTTACACTTGGTGTATTACCTGGACTGACATAGAGGTACCATGTCATAACTTTACACCCTGTGTATTACCTGGACTGACTTATAGGGATCATGGTATACCTTTACACATGGTGTATTACCTGGACTGACATATAGGGATCATGGTATACCTTTACACCTGGTGTATTACCTGGACTGACATATAGGGACCATGGTATACCTTTACACCTGGTGTATTACCTGGACTGACATATAGGGACCATGGTATACCTTTACACCTGGTGTATTACCTGGACTGACATATAGGGACCATGGTATACCTTTACACCTGGTGTATTACCTGGACTGACATATAGGGACCATGGTATACCTTTACACCTGGTGTATTACCTGGACTGACATATAGGGACCATGGTATACCTTTACACCTGGTGTATTACCTGGACTGACATATAGGGACCATGGTATACCTTTACACCTGGTGTATTACCTGGACTGACATATAGGGACCATGGTATACCTTTACACCTGGTGTATTACCTGGACTGACATATAGGGACCATGGTATACCTTTACACCTGGTGTATTACCTGGACTGACATATAGGGACCATGGTATACCTTTACACCTGGTGTATTACCTGGACTGACATATAGGGACCATGGTATACCTTTACACCTGGTGTATTACCTGGACTGACATATAGGGACCATGGTATACCTTTACACCTGGTGTATTACCTGGACTGACATATAGGGACCATGGTATACCTTTACACCTGGTGTATTACCTGGACTGACATATAGGGACCATGGTATACCTTTACACCTGGTGTATTACCTGGACTGACATATAGGGACCATGGTATACCTTTACACCTGGTGTATTACCTGGACTGACATATAGGGACCATGGTATACCTTTACACCTGGTGTATTACCTGGACTGACATATAGGGACCATGGTATACCTTTACACCTGGTGTATTACCTGGACTGACATATAGGGACCATGGTATACCTTTACACCTGGTGTATTACCTGGACTGACATATAGGGACCATGGTATACCTTTACACCTGGTGTATTACCTGGACTGACATATAGGGACCATGGTATACCTTTACACCTGGTGTATTACCTGGACTGACATATAGGGACCATGGTATACCTTTACACCTGGTGTATTACCTGGACTGACATATAGGGACCATGGTATACCTTTACACCTGGTGTATTACCTGGACTGACATATAGGGACCATGCTATACCTTTACACCTGGTATATTACCTGGACTGACATATAGGGACCATGGTATACCTTTACACCTGGTGTATTACCTGGACTGACATATAGGGACCATGGTATACCTTTACACCTGGTGTATTACCTGGACTGACATATAGGGACCATGGTATACCTTTACACCTGGTGTATTACCTGGACTGACATATAGGGACCATGGTATACCTTTACACCTGGTGTATTACCTGGACTGACATATAGGGACCATGGTATACCTTTACACCTGGTGTATTACCTGGACTGACATATAGGGACCATGGTATACCTTTACACCTGGTGTATTACCTGGACTGACATATAGGGACCATGGTATACCTTTACACCTGGTGTATTACCTGGACTGACATATAGGGACCATGGTATACCTTTACACCTGGTGTATTACCTGGACTGACATATAGGGACCATGGTATACCTTTACACCTGGTGTATTACCTGGACTGACATATAGGGACCATGGTATACCTTTACACCTGGTGTATTACCTGGACTGACATATAGGGACCATGGTATACCTTTACACCTGGTGTATTACCTGGACTGACATATAGGGACCATGGTATACCTTTACACCTGGTGTATTACCTGGACTGACATATAGGGACCATGGTATACCTTTACACCTGGTGTATTACCTGGACTGACATATAGGGACCATGGTATACCTTTACACCTGGTGTATTACCTGGACTGACATATAGGGACCATGGTATACCTTTACACCTGGTGTATTACCTGGACTGACATATAGGGACCATGGTATACCTTTACACCTGGTGTATTACCTGGACTGACATATAGGGACCATGGTATACCTTTACACCTGGTGTATTACCTGGACTGACATATAGGGACCATGGTATACCTTTACACCTGGTGTATTACCTGGACTGACATATAGGGACCATGGTATACCTTTACACCTGGTGTATTACCTGGACTGACATATAGGGACCATGGTATACCTTTACACCTGGTGTATTACCTGGACTGACATATAGGGACCATGGTATACCTTTACACCTGGTGTATTACCTGGACTGACATATAGGGACCATGGTATACCTTTACACCTGGTGTATTACCTGGACTGACATATAGGGACCATGGTATACCTTTACACCTGGTGTATTACCTGGACTGACATATAGGGACCATGGTATACCTTTACACCTGGTGTATTACCTGGACTGACATATAGGGACCATGGTATACCTTTACACCTGGTGTATTACCTGGACTGACATATAGGGACCATGGTATACCTTTACACCTGGTGTATTACCTGGACTGACATATAGGGACCATGGTATACCTTTACACCTGGTGTATTACCTGGACTGACATATAGGGACCATGGTATACCTTTACACCTGGTGTATTACCTGGACTGACATATAGGGACCATGGTATACCTTTACACCTGGTGTATTACCTGGACTGACATATAGGGACCATGGTATACCTTTACACCTGGTGTATTACCTGGACTGACATATAGGGACCATGGTATACCTTTACACCTGGTGTATTACCTGGACTGACATATAGGGACCATGGTATACCTTTACACCTGGTGTATTACCTGGACTGACATATAGGGACCATGGTATACCTTTACACCTGGTGTATTACCTGGACTGACATATAGGGACCATGGTATACCTTTACACCTGGTGTATTACCTGGACTGACATATAGGGACCATGGTATACCTTTACACCTGGTGTATTACCTGGACTGACATATAGGGACCATGGTATACCTTTACACCTGGTGTATTACCTGGACTGACATATAGGGACCATGGTATACCTTTACACCCGGTGTATTACCTGGACTGACATATAGGGACCATGGTATACCTTTACACCTGGTGTATTACCTGGACTGACGTATAGGGACCATGCTATACCTTTACACCTGGTATATTACCTGGACTGACATATAGGGACCATGGTATACCTTTACACCTGGTGTATTACCTGGACTGACATATAGGGACCATGGTATACCTTTACACCTGGTGTATTACCTGGACTGACATATAGGGACCATGGTATACCTTTACACCTGGTGTATTACCTGGACTGACATATAGGGACCATGGTATACCTTTACACCTGGTGTATTACCTGGACTGACATATAGGGACCATGGTATACCTTTACACCTGGTGTATTACCTGGACTGACATATAGGGACCATGGTATACCTTTACACCTGGT